TTTCAAAATCAGAAGCTACTAGAACAAAGAAATGAGAAAGTATGGCTCAGATGTGCGTACAAAGTTAATGAAAGCTGTCTGAGGGGCTGGAACTGTTCTCAGTGATAGACAGGGACAGACAGACAGACAGACACTTTGTAGATGTGTGCTGGCTATTTTTTGTCAACTTGACACCTACTAGAGTCATCTGGGAAGACAGAACCTTGAGAACTGCCTCCCTCAGATTGGCAAGACTGTGGGGCATTTTCTTGATTCACGGTTGATATAGGAAGACCAGTTCACTGTTGGCAGTGCTCTGGGCAGGTGGTTCTGTGTGTTAAAAGAAACCAGGCTGAGCAAGCGAGTGAGCAGCATACATCCATTGCCTCTGCGTCAGTTCTGGCCTCTAGATTCCTGCTCTGAGATGCTGCTCTGACTTCCCTCAGATTGACTGTGACCTGAAAGTTGGAAGACAAAACAAATACTTACTTCCCCAAGCTGCTTTTGCTCATGATGTTTATCACAGCAATAGAAATAAAACCCAGCAACTGACCATTATAAATACGTTCTAAGAATTAAAAGAAACTGTGTAAGGAACTAAAGGAGAGCATGACATGAAAGTATCATCAACAAACAATGTCAATAGACAAAATTATTTTTAAACCTCCCAAAAGAAACTATGAACTTGAAAGCTACAGTAAGTAAAAGGAAAGATTCACTAGACAGGCTAAGAAGATGTGAGCAAGTAATAGAGTCATCTGGTGTAAAGAAAGAGTGCTGAATGGATGAGGAACAAGTCAAACCTGAAGACAGACAAACTGCTATAATCCAGCCTACAAAGCAGAGATGAAAAAGGGGGACAGTCCCAGATGCTGATTGCAATTATAAAGATTATAAAGTCTATCAACATATCAATAATAAGAATTCTAGAGAAGAAACAATGAACAGAGGAGGAAAGGAGGGAGGAAGAGAAGAAGATTAAAGGGAAAAAAATGACCAAAATCTTGACAAATTGATAAACTCAAAAATTAGCACTACATAAACATTGTATTATGTCATTTTTCCAATGTTAGAACCAAATACCTGAAGCATCATGGTAGGAGAAATGAGAGAAAGAAATCAATGATAGGGAGAAGGCAAACTGGGGGGAACGGCAAGTCTTGATCGTGTGTGTGTGTGTGTCTATAAGGGGAAGGGTTTATTTCATTCACAGATCCATAAAACTGTTCATCATTAAAGGCTGTCAGGACAGGAGCTCAAGCAGGGCAGAAACCTGGAGGCAGAGGCCATGAAAGGGTGCTACATACTGGCTTGCTCCCCATGACTTGCTCAGCCTGATTTCTTATAGAACCCAGGTCTAACCACCCAGGAATGGCATCACCCACTATGGGCTGGGCCCTCTCCCACTGACCACTAATTAAGAAAATGCCTTACAGCTAGATCTCATGGAGGCATTTTCTCAATTGAGGCTCCTTCTCTGATGTCTCTAGCTTGTGTCAAGTTGACATAAAACTAGCTAGCACAGCCTTCCAAGACAAAAAGTGTCACCAAGTAGCCGTGAGGTATAACAGCATTGTCAGAGGCTGTGTGAGCTTACTGAGGCTGGTAATGAAGTACCAGAATAGATGACCTACTCAAAAGAAACTAACTAGCTCCTGTTTCTTCAGGCTAGAAGCCCAAGAGCAAAGGTGTCTGCACTGTTGATTGCTGCTAAGGGCTTTAAGGGAGAGCTAGTGCAGGCTTCTTTCATGGGCTTGGAGAGGATGTCTTCTTCCTGCATTGTTGCTCTGTCTACTCTCTGATTATGTCTGTCTCCAGATTTCTTCTGGTAAGGATGCCAGTCACTCTGGATCAAAGGCTGTCCCAATGATTTCACTTCAGCATTGATGAGTAGGTGGGAGGACACAATTTAGCTTATAACATGAGCTCGGGACTAGCTGTAGTTACCTCCTACATCAGCTGAGGAGTAACAGAGAAGGGGACCCACTGAAGATGCCAACAACATGGTCCCCAGTTGCCATACCATAGCTGATCTAGGAGTCTTGATCTTTTTAAAATGAATCACTGTCAGGGCCAAGGCCCCATCTCTTAAAGGTTCCAATATCCCATCAATACACTCACACTGGAGGCCAGGCTTCTAGAGCAGGAACCTCTGCTGGACAGATGATCCGAGTCAAAAGATCAAAAGCCATGAAGAATCTTTCTAATAAAAATGACAAATGACTTATGGTGGAAGGAGGGTTACTGATGAGATTAGTAACCTTCACCTCCCCAGAAACCGGGGAGGCTGGAAGCACCAAGATAACATATTCAAAATCCCAAAAGAAACTGTCAACTGAGGAATCTGTATCTGGTGAAACAATTGTTGAAAACATAAAGAAGAAATTAAGACATTTCTAGATAAGAAAAACAGAGCATTCATCCATAGCTGAATTGTGGTACAAGAAAAATCAGACTGATATAAAAGCTCACTAGACAGCAATTCAAATTCATCCAAAGAAAAGACAATTAGTAAAGGAAACTGCATGGGTAAATATGAAAACAATATAAACATGCTTTTGTCTGTGCTTTCCTTCTATTGCCTCAAAAGACAACTTCATAAAACAATAATGACAAAACTGTCTGTGGACTTTCTGGGGTGCTGTGGGAAGAAGTATATGCACCCACACTTCTCTCTCTGTCTCTGTACACGAGTGTGTGTGTGTGTGTGTGTGTGTGTGTGTGTGTGTGTGTGTGTGTGTAAGGAAGCCAGAGGTCAACCTTGGGCATCATGCCTCAAGCATTTTTGTCCTTCATTTATGAAACACAGCCTCTGACTTGGTCTAAAACTCACCAGTTAGGTAAGGGTTGCTTGCTTTCAACCCCAGGAAGCAGCTTGTCTCTGCCTCCCCAGTGCTGAAATCAAAAGCACGTGACACTACACCCAGCTTTTTTATGTGGGTTCTGAGAAACAATCTAGGTTCTCATCAAATCCAGACTTATGGATAAGGGTGTAATACACATGACAGTAAAAGCACAAAAGAGGTAAGAAGGAAGAGACTGACAGTATTTTAGATATTGGGGCTATATTTAATACATATATGTATATTTATGTAAGTAAGCATAAATCTGTACAGCATTGCTTTAAAGGGTCAGATATCATACACAAAGACTGGAACACAGAATAGAATATGAGGGTAACATGAACTGAGCCTAAGGCCAGATTAAAACAACTAAGGACTAAACCTTCCCAAGGTCAACTTAATTTCCCAGGTTATTAAAAGTTACTCTGAATTCTTGACAGACTAAGTGAAATTATTTTGATCACTGAAGTGACTGAAAGTCATTTGAGAAATGCCAACCAAAACCACAGATAGCAGGCTGGAGAGATGGCTCAGAGGTTAAGAGCACTGGCTGCTATTCCAGAGGTCCCTAGTTCAATTCCCAGCAACCACATGGTGGCTCCCAACCATCTATAATGAGATCTGGTGCCCTTTTCTGGCATGTGGGTGTACATGCAGGCAGAAATTGTATACATAATAAATAAATCTTTTAAACAAACAAACAAACAAAAAAGCTACAGCTACCACACCACATGTCAGTGAATAACTATAGATAAAAAGGCAGAGCCTGGTGGCAAAGACCTGTAATCCCAGATATACAAGAGACTAAGACAGAGAGATCAAAGGCTAGCTGAGTGACACAGCCAGTTCAAAGCCATCTGGGCAACTTAGTGAGACACTAACTGAAATATTAAACAGCTAAAGGCAGCTTGGGGTGCAGCGCAATGGCCAATGCTTACATAGCAGGCTTCCAATCCTAGCATCTCAAACAAACAAAAGAGACAAGGACAAGTATTAATGAGGGCACGGAGAAATGGGAACCATGATACACTGCTCATGACAATGTAAATGGTGAAAGGGCTTTGGAAAATCATGTTTAAAGTTCTCAAAACGTTAAACAGGGTTACAATATGACCAGCAACTCCTCTCCTATGAATGCTTGCAACAACCACAACAAAAAAGAAAACATTCTTATATAAAATTTTATAACATTATTCACAATAGACCAAAATAGAAAATTTGCCCATCCAAACGCCCATCAACTGATGAATGAGTAAAATGGATGTAAACTATCCAAACAGTGGAATATTATGCAGTCACAAATAGCAATGAGGTAACACATGCTACAACATCAAACATTACAAGTAAAACATACCACTAATATGCCAGACAGAGAAAGCATATGGTAAGTGACCCCACCACCAATGACCCATCCAGGACAGGCGGCTGTAGAGCCACACAGGAGGAGGAGAAATGAGGGAGTAGAAGAAGTGGCCACTCGTGGTCACATGGTCTCATTTTTCAGGAGTGATGAAATTGCTCTGAGGTGAGAGAATAGTGAGGACTACACACCTTAGAACAACTAGGAAGCAATGGTTTTAAATTTAAAAGGTGGACTTCAGGGCTGGAGGGGTGGTTCAGCAGTAAAGACCACTTGCTGCTTTTGTAGAAGACCCAGATTCAGACCCAACACAGACATCACATGGCACACAACCATTTATAACTCCAGGTCCAGACACCCTTCTGGCCTCTCCAGGCACATGCTCACATGAGGTGCACATACATAAATTCAGGTACACACATAAGATGAAATAAATCTTTTTAAATGTGAACTTTATAGTGTATGAATTAAATCTCAATAAAACAAAATTTAAACCAATGGATATATTTAGCAATATAGATGAACTTCAAATTCATCTTCTTAATGGAAAGAAGCAAGACACATATACACAGATGCACATACACACACATACATACACACACACATATAAATACATATCATACATACATACACACAATACATATACATATATACACATACATACACAAACACACACGGACACACACACAAATGCCACACACACACCATAATGGTACTATTTTCATAAAGCTAAAAAAATACAGCTGATTATTATGGCAAAAAAGAGAACAATGGTTTCTAGGGCAGGGAAAAGCAAAGACACAAATAACATTTCTTACTGTAGTTCTGTGGGACAAGTTCTGGATTCTTGGGAGTTTTCAGCCTGTAGGACACATCTCCAATATTAACTGTTTCACCTAAAAAAGAAGGAATGCAATCATTACAACAGACAAGTGACACCCATAATACTCTGATAACAATGATTCTCTTGACCTTCAGGGAGAATGTCACACAAATGCACCAGGCACGTGTCTAACATCCTATAAATAGTGTAAGTTATATCAGAGAAGTAAATACTAAGAAACTGCACAGTTCAGGAGCTGGGCTGCCACATCAATAAATCATATTAACCAGACTCTTATTTTATGGTAATAGCAATATTAATATAGGCAACAACATTACAGAAGATACATTTTTTAAAGTTTTTTATATTTATTCACCTACATGAGGAGGGTGTACACACATGGAGGTGAGAAGGCCATCTAAATAACCCTGAGCATATTTTATTTCCAGCTACTTTTATGATCTGATTCTATGTCCCCCACAGGCTCATGACGTGAACACACAGTCCTTAGCTGGTGTTTTAAGAGCTTCTGGGAACATTAGGAGGTGGAACCTAGGTGAGAAGACTAGGTCACTGGGATTGGACCCTCTCTTCCTCTGGTCCAAGCCCAGTGTGAACATTACTGCCCCATGCCATACCTTCCCAACCATAATGGACTGAACCCTCTGAAACTATGAGACAAATAAATGTTTTCCCCTCTAAACTGTCTGTGTTGGGTAATTGATACCAAAATTGATACCAAAAATGATGGGAGGAAGGCAGCCCCGTTCTATAGTCACTTGAGGTTATAGGACCCCCAAAAAACTTGTCTACATGCCCCATTAGAATCCACTGTCGGCTCCAAGAACACTGAAGTTTTATGACTAACTTTATAAAATTGGTGAATTCATGAGCATATACCCAAAAGCCTTAGACTAGCAAGATGTCAGCCAACCACCAACCTTTGTTCTTTTTCCTTCTTGGTTCTTCCTCCCCCTTAGCACTTCTTGGTAGACCTTTTTCCCACCAGCAGGCTATCCTGAGCCTGTGCTCTTGCACCTGGCCCATCAACCAATCAGAATACACACACACACACACACACACACACACACACACACACACACACTCAAATTAACCAGCCAAAATAATCCCACCCAGATAACTAATTTACATATAGGTGGAACTAAATTTGCAGGACATTTTGATGCCTGTTCCAAAACTCTATTTGACAACCCATTTTTCTGGCTGTTTTAAGCAATCCTGTTTGCTTACAATCCTTCTGTTGCCTGTGCCCATAATCCTTCGAGATTGTTGAAAAAAAAATTTACCTTGGATCCAGGAAATGGGTAATAAAAAGAGGGGTCACTAATGTGACTGAACCTGACCTTGCAGTTCTTAGGTCACTGGAACTAGTTTGTGGGCAGGAAGTTTGGAGATGCAGGCTAGAGAAGTCCCAGGATGCTATAAGCAGAGCTCAGCAGTTAACTCTAATGGACGCACAGGGGACCAGAATACCAACAGGAAGTCACATAGTAAAGACCGAACTCACGAGGTTTCAGATGGGGAAAAGGACGTTATCAAGAACAGATTACAAGGTTTTCATGCTATACACCAGCAAAAGAGTTTTCTATATTCTGTGCATTAATGTGAAGCTGAATGAGGCTGAATTCAAAATAAGACTAATTTGACAGGGGAAATTTCAAAACGTTATATACCATTTGAGCCATAGCACGGTTATTGTTATCTGCTTTAGCCAGTCTTTTATTGAAAATAAGAAGGAAAAAGCAGAGTGTAAGGATTTCAAAACTATGCAGTCTATTCAAGAAAGGAACATATTAAAAGTTGATAAGGAAGCCAGGCAATCATGATACATGCCTTTGATTCCAGCACTTGAGAGGCAGAGGCAGGCAGATCTCTGTGAGTTCAAGGCCAGCCTGGTCTACAGAGTGAGTTCAGGAACAACAAGGGCTTTACACAGAGAAATCTTGTCTTGGGAAAAAAGAAATGTTGACAAGGAGAATGTGGCTGGCTTTGTTTTTCTCTACAAACACTACTGTGGATGGAACCCAGGACCTAGGCAAGAATTCTACCACACAGCTGTATTTCCAGCTCAGTGGCTGGCTCTTGGATCACCTCCCTCTGAGGGGGTGCAGCCTTACTAGGCCATAGATGAAGACAATGCAGCCAGTCCTGATGAGATCTGATGGACTAGGGTCAGGTGGAAGAGGAGGAATACCTCCCATATCAGTGGACTGGGGGGGGGGGGGGGGCATGGGAGGAGAAGAGGGAGGAAGGGCTGGATTGGGAACAGAGGAGGGATAGAGTTTACAAGAGGAATACAAAGTAAATAAATTGTAATAAATAAAAATAAATTTAAAAAAATAAAAATAACCTCAAAAATGTGTATGGATATTTTGCTTGCATGTATGCCTGTGTATAACATTCATACTGGTATCTGCAATAGGTCAAAAGAGAACATGGGGGGGAAGGGAGGTGGGACTCATACTAGGCATTGAATATAAGCTTTATCCCAATCCAGAAATACAGTAGTTAAAGAAATTTAGACAATTAAAAAGAAACCTAGAGCCAAAGTGCCTTGAGGGCATTTCAGGAATTAGAGAAACTTCTCTAAATTCCACTGTGTTAAACTATAAACTCATTTGAAAGATTTTCCCTATAGAAGATGGAACTGGTAGGACACTCAGCTTATACAAAGCAACCTGGGGGTAGAGGCACAGGGCTGCTGAGATGAGATAGCTCAGCAGCTAAGAGTACTGGCCTCTTGCAGAGGGCCTGGGTTCAATTCCCAGCACCCACATGGCTGCTCACAACCATCTATAACTCCAATTCCAGGGGATGTAACATACCCTTCTGGTCTCCAAAGGCACCAGGCATGTCATAGACAGACACGCCTGGAGGAAAAACACCTATTCACATAAAATAAAAATTAATTTAAAAAAAATTTTAAGATTTATTTATTTTCTATGTATACAGATCTCATTCTAGATGGTTGTGAGCCACCATGTGGTTGCTGGCAATTAAACTCAGGACCTCTGGAAGAGCAGCCAGTGCTCTTAACCTCTGAGGCATCTCTCCAGTCCCCTAAAAATATTTTTAAACAGAACTCTAGGGAAGTGTTTTTCCAGGTTCAGCCACTACTGGGGTCAGTTACCAGAAGCCAATGTGGCTGTGAGTCAATGGACCTGGCTATTCCTTGAGCTTGTGGGAGCTCTTGGCATTACCCAGGCAGTGCTTGTTTTGTAAAAATACAGAATGCAAGCGTTATGAGGTCTTGAAGGCTTCCACCCAGATTTTTTTTTTTCGAGATAGGGTTTCTCTGTGTACCCTCAGCTGTCCTGGACTCACTTTAGAGACCAGGCTGGCCTCGAACTCACAGGGATCTGCCTGCTTCTACCTCCCTGAGCACTGGGATCTCAAGCATGAGCCAGGACACCCAGGTTCCACCCAGATTTTTAAGTTAGGTCTGAAAGGTTAGGCAATGTGCATTAGGGTAAGATTTCCCACAGGGATTCCCTGAGAGGAAATACATAAAACTATGAGGATAAAGCTTATTTGTCATAAAGACTATAGGATATTGGAGATGTCAGGGGAGTGGAATGTCTGCTGAGGAATCTGCAGGCAATGAGCAGAGCCACTTGAGCCATATGTGTCAGCGGGCTACACACAGTGACACCGCCAGGGTTGAGCTGCTCAAGTACACTGGAGTTTGCCATAAGCACCAAGTGACTCACATGATCTTACTTACCTTCCACTGGTAATCTCCCATTCCTCCCTTTGGGGATATGCCATTGTATACTAAAAGCAAATGATTTTCCTTTCCATTTTATAGACTCACAGCTGAGTTTTCCCTGGGCATCAGAGGAGACTCTGAATTTGGAATAATATTGCAACTGTCAAGATTGAAGGGACTCTTGGATATTAACTAAATACATCGTGCTCAGGAGATGGCAATAAGCTTTTGGGTACCAAAGGCTGAATTTTATGAAATCTTTTAATGTTCTCTGTTGTTTTTAACAGAATCTCAAATGTTCAACTTTAACAATAACATTTACTAAAATAAAAAATAAAAAAAAAACTTGGGAGCCAGATGCTGGGGTGAAAGCACAGCTAGCTTAATTGATAGAGCCCGAAACTCTTAATCTCAGGGTTGTAGGTTTGAGTGCCTTATGGAATGCTAAATGTTGTTTTCAACAAAATCTCAAACATTCAATTTACCAACAAAGATTTGGGAGCCAGATGTTGGGGTGAAAGCCTACTAGTTCAGAGAAGCAGAGAAAGCACCCAGCTGACTTTCCTCCTCAACCAACATTCCAGAAGGAAAAAGGAAGCTCTCCCTCAAACGGAATGTCCCTCCCTTCTACTTCCTGTGGATCCATCCTCCTGACTTCCTCTTACTCTTTATGCTTGTTTCCTACGTTCACTCCCTGTCAATTGGTTGCTTGTTCCACCTCTAGAGCTATGGCTGATTTTATTTAATTCAGCAGAAAGCTCTTGGCTGAAAGCTCTAGGGCTGAGCCACACCACAACTAGAAACCGGTTTTCCCAGTAAATATCACAATCTCAGGGTTCAGAGTGTTATCGAATATACTGCAACAGTTCACCATGGTTCATGATTTGAACATTTGGTTCCCAATTAATAGCCTTATTTGGGAGAAGTTCTAGAAAATGTAGGAGGTGAATCCTTACAGAAGAAAATAGGTTACTTGGTGCGTCCATGAGGTGTTTTTCCCTGGTTGTTTTCCCACCCACCACAATGTGGGCTAATGGCCTCCACACCATGACAGACTGAACCCTCCGAAGTCATAAGCAGAAATAAATCTTTCCTCCCTCAGGTTGCCCATGTCAGGCATCTGGATCACAATGAAGAGAAAAATTAACTAATGAAATCATCCAAACCATTGGCAGGGCAGAATCTCACATCCTTCAGATTTTTTACAAAGACAAGTTTCTAGCAGCTCATCCTCAAAATTCAACATGTCTAGGTCATAAAAGAAGTCAAACCAAATGGCGTAAGTGCTGAGAATTTCTAGATAAAGCAAGTGAGAGGTGGAGAAAGTGCTCAACAACCTCTAC